TGGGGGGGGGCGTTGCGCAAAAGTGTGGGGGTTGCTTTAATCCATCTTAACAACGGTGGGGCCTCGAACCCAAAGCGGCAAACAACATGTGGCACGTAAAGCGTCCCTTTGATTGCATTGTGGCTGTCGAAGGCCGCGCGAGCCCGTCGGGGCGGCCCGCCAGACTGCAGCCGCCCACCCCCGCATTCACGGCGCCCCTCTAGCCCCCATCGCCCCCACCGCACATACACACACTGAAGAGCGAGGCCGCGGCCTTCCTGCAGCCGGCTGATGTCAGGCTGCAGGAATGTGGAAAACAGAGCACACTGGGGGGCCTTGTTCTCCCCCCGTGAATAGAAGGCGGCAGGCCAAAGCACATGCCACACACACGGCCCAGCCTGGGGGAGCCAGAGGGGCTTTGTGGGAGGCGTCGGGACGGAGGAGGTGGGGGGGCTGAGTGTATTTTGAGGTCATGTGGAGGCACTTTTGATTCAGTTTCGTTTCCAAAGAAATGGAGACAGAGCTTTTCTGAAAACAACTTGAATGTGAAAGCTTCAAAACAGGAAGTGCAAAGTCAGCACCCTTTGGCAGGCTTTACCAAGTTTTTATTTCTATTTTTTCATCACTCTATGAATGAAGGTTGCGCAAGGGGGTGCTATCGCCACCAGGAACACCAATGGCATCAGGTCAAGCTCAAAGGCACTTGTGAACATTGAAGGATTCAAATTAGGGCTGAACAATTAATCAAATTCAAATCAACATCGCAAAGTAGAAGAATGCAATTGTCTAATTGAAAGGCTGCAACTTTGAGGGGGGGGGGGAGGATACTTCATATCGGTCAGTTGGTAGGCTTTATTTATTTATTTTTAGTTAGTTTGTTCGTTAGTTAGTTTGTGAGTTAATGTCTAAATAAGTTTCGTGCTTAATACCCTGTACGTGCAGTCCACATGTTTACATGACCAAGTTGCCTTCATAAAACCTTCCAATAACCGCTCAACACACAGAGCAACAACGCATACAAAGAGAGCATACAACAACACTCACCGGCATGGGAATAAACTAAAAATAGAAAATGGGATGTGTTCGCCAAAGTTGATTCTTGATGGCTCCTTTACATGAAAACAACGAGTCATCGTTGCAATGGCGTTCACTTCAAATCATTTGCTGACATGTTCCAGCGTGAATAACACTCAAGTCAGCACATTCTCATGCACTCGTCTTACTGTAAATACTTAATTGGCACTTGCCAATTATTCACTGAATGCACCGTAGGGTTGGGAGTGTTTAAAAAAAACGTAAAAAAAAAAAAGTCATTATTAATAAATCCAAGAACCATTTTAAATTTTAAAGCAATGTAATCTGGAATTCGTCATCAACTTCATTTGTTCACTGTGCTGAAGATAGACAGATAATAGATTGATAAATGGATAGATATACGGATTGAGAGATATATTGATTGAGCCATAGATTTAAGGCAGTTGGTCTCAATCTGGGTTTCGATCGAAGCCCAGGGGTTCGGTGAATCGGTCTCAGGGGTTCAACAAAGCCTCTGCCACGGATGTTAAGACACATCGACTCAACATGTCAATTATTGACGACACGCCCGCGGCAGATAATCACATTACATCGCTTGTCCAATCAGTGCTGCGGGAAATTTAGTTCGCTCAGTCATCAATGAGTGACTGTAGTTGATAGTACGTCGTGTGATTTTTTTTTTTTAATTTTTTAATCCATGCTATGTCAAGCAAAAAAAAAAAAAGCGGTCAGACGAATATTTACAACATGGATTCACACGCATCATGCACGATTTGTCATGCCAAGTTGAGCAACTCAAAACTGAAGGAACAAGTCATGAATTGTATTTTTATTTTTCACTAATGTAGAGTTCAGTGAATGTGCATATGAACTGGTTGGGTCCGGTACCTCTAACAAAGTTAAAAACCACTGGTTTAAACTAATTCAAGACAATTACAAGCTGTTTTGCAGTCCGTGAAGGCAA